GATCTTAATCTCCCCTTTCATGTTAAGAAGTATATTAGAGCAGCATAAGGAGCCATGTTCAAGGCTATTAGAGGCTAGATACACAAGGCCTTTAACGACCTACTGTAATGGTGGGTGCACCAGATGTGAGAATCTAGCCACCCAGGGGAAGGGATGATTTTACTAAGACAACACACTGTCTTAGAAAACAGAGCCAAAGGGTCGTAGCTTAGACTATTTCACAACGTAGCAATCAGGTGTATTATGTAGTGGAGTGGTTTAGACAAGTTGTAACAAATGTTGAGTCTGAGAACTCAGGGGTAAGTCAGAGGTTAGCACCTCACTGACTTTTCAAAAACAGAGAATAACAAGATCAATGCTTGGAAGCTTGGAAAAGACGTAGAAGTATGTGATAGTCGATTTACTGTATTGTCTGCTTGCCCTTTCTTAAGGAAAGGGCAATCCTATTTATGCCAAAGGAGTGTAGTTCTCTCATTTTCCATGACTTTCCATGACTAACCAGGCTTGGTAACTGTATTAGAAATCAAGTGTAACCCACAACTAGCTTGCTAATCATGTAGTAAATGTAAGAGAATCCTATAGAACCATCTCTTGGGTTCCTAGCCTATAGGAAGTGAAAGGAGGTCAAAGGTCAGAGTACCCCTATACACAAATTATGTCATAACTTAACCAATCTTGTGGGTAACTAAGGAGTGATGATGTGTAATAAATCATAGAGGGTTGTAGAAGCTTCTAGAGCTATCGTTCATGTTCCTAGGCCTCTAGTTGGTAGAGATATGCCATGTGGTAGTATTGGCCCACCCCCTTAAGGAGGAGATTTTCTTAATAACTTGTTCAGTGAGTGTCCAAATGATATGCCGTGATGTATGTAGCATAAACAGATGTAGTAGAAGAGTTTTCAATAATCGTTGAGTAGTATTGCTCTTGTTGTTGGTGTGATAAGCCAACATATCTATGGTGACTTGTAGGTTTGAGGAGGAGATTTCTAAGTTTGCTCTTGAGTTTGATAGCAAACTGAGTGCAACGAATGTCAGTATGACATTAGCCATTCTGCTATAATAAACTGATTTATCCAAGCCTTCTTGTTCCATCGCCAATAACCTCCCATTGCTTTAACATTAATATACTAGAGTGCTCGAGGTTTCTTCGCCTTTCTAATAAACCAAAGTGGAATCCGATCAGCTCCTATACAGTTTGTACAACAAACAACTGATATTCGCGCCTTGTCCTTCTTAAATCCTAGCTGTGATATTGTTGAAAGACCCTTTGAAGGGGTCAGCTTCCAAAAGAGCCCAGTTTCGTCCATGTTATAAATGTCCTCCTCTTGATATTCCCCTGCTATTGTCTATATCCCCTTTATTTCTTTCTCTGCTTGTGTAGGAACTGAGCTTGCTTCACCCTGTTAAGTATAACTCTTAATCTTATGTCGTCTTTTAAAATTTGAAACCTAGCCTTGAGAGAATTGAGGCATAGGCTGGTTGTGGTATTGTGGAAGTTGCTTCCAAATCGTTTTAGTGCATAGTTGTAGTATATCGGTGCTTGTAACTCCTCCCTTGCTTTCAATAAGCTGCTGCCATTCAAAGAGGACTGCTTTAAGGTCAGGCCATGCAACAGCTTTGCGATGGTGAGTTGATTTCTGAATTGTGTTAAGAGGTATTGTATCAAGGTTGGCGCATCAAGAGCTTAAAGATTTGGAGACTGTTGAATATGGAATATGATGGCCGAAGGTTCTAAAGAACTAGTCGATAGAGGCTTTTTCTGAAGACTTTGGTGACTGGTTAGCATACCAGTTTCGGAGTGCGTGACGCTGCTCAATCGTCATCGTAAACAGCTGATTTCGAGGCATCTTGGCCTATGTAATGTCAGTATAAGTCGATATCTGGTCAAATCAGTTTGATATTGAGTGTATCTGTAATGCTGACTTCTAAACGATAGAAGACACAGAGGTTTCTTGCATAAGGTTTGACTTGACAGAGGAGTCAGGGGATTAAACACAAAGGCTTTCTAAGTAACATGTTACAGTAAATAATACTATATTGAGTTGAGCATGAAGCTCCTATCTAAGAAATAACTATCTACCTATATAGTGGCATCGTGCCTAATGGTATGATGGACCATTGTGGTCCATCATGTGACGTCTGAGTTCGTCTTCTCCTTCTGACCAATTACTATGACTTCCTATATGCAGCTTCCCAGCCAATCCCTTTCCTGACGCTAAGGGTGGGGTGAGTTGTAACAGTATTATTGGCTTTTGCGGCTCTCGGTTCGGGAGGAAAAAGCTTGTCTATTCCTGAAGGTCTGTTCTATGTTCATACGAAGGGTTTTCCTTTCGTACAACCTACTAGCGTACTATTCTACACGTGGTCTATGTTATCATGTGGTTTTTACCCTCTACAACCCGTGTTCTGACGTGGTTGTGTCGTTGTTGTGTGCACCTACATGTGTTCTATGTGATCATGTGCATGGTTGTGTGCGCACTTGTTTGTTTGTTTACACGTGGCTTGTATGTCACGTGCGTTGCCACTCCAACACACCCCCTCAGCTTCTTGGTGTTTGTTTGTTGTGATGTATGCATAGAGCTGATCCTAGATCACTCTAGCGGTCAGCCAATCAGTTGTTTAGATCGGTAGATCACTCTAGCGGTCAGCCAATCAGTTGTTTAGATCGGTAGATCACTCTAGCGGTCAGCCAATCAGTTGTTTAGATCGGTAGATCACTCTAGCGGTCAGCCAATCAGTTGTTTAGATCGGTAGATCACACAGATTCTAGATCATACACATGATCGGCTAATCACATGTTTTGACTTGGCCAATCGTCCAAACGGTTTGGCAGATCAAATTGGTGATTCTAGATCACACACTCCAAGGAAGATGTATATATAGGAGGGCTTCTTCCCACCTAGGGACTTCCTCTCTTTGTTTTTGTGTTTTAATGTTGTTTTCTTGTTGTAAAGACTGAAAAAATCAAGGCTTTTGTAATAAAATAATATATGAAATGTATAGCGAGGGAAGTTGATGTAACCTGCTAGTATGCTTCGGATTATCCTCATACGGTTCGTACGAACGTTTTATCATGTTGTGTGGTTGTTGTACACCTCTAGGTATGATTGTCTGAACCCTTTCTTAGATTGTACAAAGGGGTTCTTCCACCCCCTTAGTACCACTCTCTAATTTTGAGACGTGGACTAATCCAATCATTTTCATGAACTCTTTGTGCTTTTGACGTGGTAGGGCCTTAGTGAAGCCATCTGCAGGAATCGCCCTTGTAGGAATCCATTTAACATCAACCGTCCCATTTTGAACTTCTTGCCGAAGCCAACTTTGATGTATGTCGATGTGTCGCAACTTTGTCATTAACTTAGGTGCATCTGTGACCATAAGTCGGACTGTTTGCGCATTGTCGCACTCTATAGAGGGGTGTTCATATGTCTTAAGACCAATTTGGTCGAAGACTCGTAACCACCAATATAGTTGGGTTGTGGCATGTGATAGAGCGAGGAGTTCTGCTTCAGTTGTAGACCTCACAACAGTCCTCTGTTTTGAGCTTTGCCAATCTATAAGAGAGTTGAATAGATGGAAGGTGTACCCTTCTGTACTCTGTTGCATTTCTGTGTCATCTGCAAATGATGCGTCTGATGCAGCTCGGAACACCCCTTCTTCAAACAGTTTAATTTCGTTCGTACAATCAACATTCTGCTTCGGACGATCATTCTGAGGGTTCTCTTCCTCATGAACTTCAGCTAGTCTGTTTGTACGAGAATTATTCTCATTTGTCCGAGAAGATATTTTTGTGAGTAGTGCACCCCCTACACCCCCTACATCGGTAGGTATTAAGGCTCATAGCTCTTGTAGGAGGTTCGTACGAACATTCTGTGGGTTCGTATGATCGCATGCATAGAGTAATTTTTGTGATGTGCGCGATGCATCTGGTTGAGTAATCATCGTAGGATAGATGATCGATCCTATCCTCTGTTGATAATAATGTATTATGGCCTTTGATGCTTGTTCTGCATTCTTCACGAAGTCTTTTACTTCCATAGGTGTATCGACCTTCCGATGGTCCATGACATTGAATTTCCAAGTGATCTTTTCGATGTATTGGTCTTGACATAGCCAAACCCATCATAGCTCTCAGTTTCGGACAATGCAGATTCCAAGGATGTACTCGAGCTCTCCTAGCTCTCAAAATTCGTATCGGTCATGAAGTGTTCGTCGGAACTCATCATATTCCTTCTGTTTATCCTTAAAGTATAAGGCGTAGATGTCATCTACATAGAAACAGATGATGATTCCGTCTCGTATAAAGAGACAAGGCACATCGCGCGTGCCCTTAAAACCCATTTGTAGGAGCGTCTCTTGTATATGTCGATACCATAGTAATGGTGATCGCTTTAACCCATATAAGGCTTTCCATAGTTGAAAACAATAAGTTTGAGGTTCGTATGAACCTTCTGTCATTTGTACGATCCTTTCTGGAATTGGTATATATACCGTTTCATCCATATCTGCATTCGTAAACATGCTTACAGCATCAAACTGTCGCACTTCCATGTCGAAGTATGCCATAAGAGCCATCGTAAGTCAGAAAATGTGCGCTGCTAGAGTAGCTGCATAGACCTCATTAAAGTCCGATGAGTGTTGTAAGGCACCTCAGACAACGAGTCAAGCCTTACACTTCACAAAGAAGCCATTTTCATCCATCTTATATGTATACACCCATTTTATAGGCACGAGTTTTGCAAGGTTTGCTTTTTTCCGAGGTGTTAAAATGAACGTGTCGCGTCAAGCGAGATCATGAAACTCAAGGTTCTTCGCCTCTATAATCTCCTGTCTATATTGATGTGTGTTTAACCCTTTCTCCTTGTAGGTGCAAGGGGTAGGTCCCGTTGATGGACTCGTTCTTGTGCTGCGTTAAAAGCCGTGTGAAAAGATGAGACCTTGCGAGAGGTTATCTAGGGTCGCGTGATAGGCTTGCCTTCAGATATTTCCTTCCTGTCATGGTTAATACATGATGCTTAATTCATCAATATCATCATCTTCATCCTCATGTTCCGATTGCAGGATAGGTGAGGATAGGTCGGGTGTAGGCCATGGTGCACTTCCTTTCATAGGAACGCTAACATCGTTCGTACTATCCTGAATAATTATCGTACGATCCTTCTCATGGCTTTGTTCCTTTTGAGGAGTGCCCTGTTCATTTGTACGAAGAGTTGTCTCGGGTCCCTCATTTGTATAGGAATCCGCACGTTGAGTGTTAGGACTATATATGGTGCAGAGTTTCATACAATGATACCAAGTGATTGTACGAACGCATGAAATGCATTTCCGAGTGCCTGTTCATCGTCTGTTTGTAGGGTTCGGACAGTAAGACTAAATCTAGTCCGTATGAGGTTTATGAAGTCGCTAAGAGTGTCGATTAAAGTTTGCTCTTTCTTGTCACTTAGGATCCATAGGTGATTCATTCCGAGGGCATCGCAGCTTATGTGGAATATGTACCCTTCGTATATAGGAATAAGATTGAAGTGGATCTTCTCATATGGTATAGTCGATCAAGTTGTTGGAATCTGTGAGATTATCCGTTGCACTTTTGCAAGTCAACAAGTTTCGCAGTTTTCATCAAATTCCTTATTTGTTATTTCCACCCCCTGAGCTTGTTGTAGCTTTGCGACAGCGTGATGGTTTAGATGCCCCATTCTCTCATGCCATTCTTGTAGCGTTCCCTTAATGTTACGGCTATAGTAACATGATGTCATGGTTACAGGGCCAGGGCCTAGTAACGTGACGTGTGAGTCACAGTGGGAAGCGGGGTAGGCTTCCATGTGACGGGGCTAATGGATAGTTGCAGAAACTAGTGGATATTGGATAGTTGAGCTATCCACGAACTATCCTGAATATCTAGCTATCCGCCAACTATCCAGATTATCCATGAGGCACGACGCCACTATATAAGTAGATAGTATTTCCTTAGATAGGAGCTTCGTGCTCAACTCAATATAGTATTCTTTACAATACTGTAACGTGTTACTTGGAAAGCCTTTGTGTCTAATTCCCTGCCTCCTCTGTCAAGTCAACCTTACACAAGAAACCTCTGTGTCTTCTATCATTTAGAAGTCAGCGTTACACTTAAGGACTCTTGCCTTTCGAGATGAGAATAGGGTTGTGTGAGGTTCGTACGAAGCTCCTGTATGTTCGTACGAAGCCTCTATAGGTTCGTATGAAGCTTGTACTTTTCATACGAAGCTCTCCTCTTTTGTAGGGCTAACTTGTCATATTAAGCCTACTTCTTTCGGGAGATCATTCCTAGTGCTTATAGCAACTTGGATTTTCTTATCCTCCATTTGTCCGAGATCATTTTCCATTTGTACGAAGAATGTAGCATCGATCAGAACGTATCGTAAGACCGTTTGTCCGAAATGTCGCGGTGTATAGCAGAGCACCCCATTCTTATGGTATAGCTCGCGCGTTCGGGAATCCCAATGTATATTCTTTGCGTTCATCTGGTGATGCAATGTTTGTGAGGAATCCTGCAATGTATGCAACATTATGAAGTGTGATTTCCTTCACTCCTCGAGGTTCTGACAGAGTAAGACGAACTTTTCTGTATCCTAGGATCTGACACTCTGCTTTGCCTGCAAGCATCGATCCTTTCTGTTCGACATAGTCGTACATGCATGATAGATCATTACAAATGTGTGTTGTAGACCCACTGTCGAGGATGGTGCTCTTTGCAAGTCCGTATTTTGCGTACTTCTCCTCTTCGTGAGTAAGGTTGGATGATGACTCTAGATCGGAACGCCTACTTTGATAATCAGAATCATATAGATGATTGGCCGAAGCAACATACAGATGTTCCGAGACCTTTGATTGTCCGAGAATTATTTTTGATTGTCCGAGTCGCAGTAGCATCATGAGTCGCGAAACTCATCAGAATCTTCTTAGTAGTCTTCGTACTATGCGCTTTTTTTTCGTACAATCGATGATAGCAAAATTTGCAGGTAGTTGATTCCCTCCTTCGTTTGTACGAGGTCCTTTCCCGTTTGTACGAGGTCCTTTCCCGTTTGTACGAGAAGATTTACCATTCTCTTCTGCCACTCATTGCGAGTTCGTTTGTAGACATGCTCAATGTTGCTCCTTCGGAACACCTTATCGTTGTCCGTAAGCGCTTCTTGTACCTTCTGTAGGATAGCTTCATCCATCTTCCAACTCTGCGGTTGCTAGTCGCCCCTTAGAAGGTTGTGGACGCACTGATATTTTTACTGTTTCTCGGAAAGGCCTAGAATTGGATTCCTGGAGACTGATCGACGATCTGAACGAATCTGGGAGAGCTGGCAGCTTGAATTCTAGGAAGTAAGTCATCTCTGTTCCAATCCTCATGCACTTAATAAAGTCCTGAAAAAGATGTTATTGGAAGTCTGCTCCAAGAATAGATTTGGTATCAGATAGTGAACTGGGAGCAGCTGACGAGGTCGCTGCTTCGTCATTCTGCCTTGGCGAAGAGTTCAGCTCCTGCGCTTCTCCATCCCCTTTCGAACGTTACGATGACGGTGTCTCACCGTCCCCGCTCTAACCAATGCCATATTGCATATTCTAACAATTTATCGTCGATCTCGTAGCCTGAATAAGTTCATGGTTTCTCTGCGTTTTGAAGCACCTTGCTATTTTGAGTTTGTATCATATTGCTTCAGTGACTGACCAAAGGTGCTGTGGAAAGGAAGCACTTAATGGCGTTGAGTATGGTTTTCTTATGTGAAAGTAAAACGGCAAATATTGGTCGTTCAGAGCCGTCGTTATTGTAAGAGAGGCAGAACTGGGGTAAATGGAAATTTACAATTTTAGCAGGCAGCGAATACTGCCGAGGAGCATAATCTGGCGGTCATCCGCGCTAATGCATCGCCTGAGCCGGCTCCGTGCTAATGCAGGCCCGGCTCAGGCTTGCTCAGGTTTGCTCAGCCGGGCTCAGTTACAGATCGGTCTAGCTCACCCAAAGCTCAGGTTAAAGCAGCAACAGCTCAGTCCAAAGACGGAAGTGGAGATTGACCATGTCGAGAGACCGGTAGTAGATATCCTGCTCTAAGATGCCATATTTCGCAACCGTTTTTCATGTTTCAGTGTTTCGTACGAGAGAAAACCACTCTTGAATTATCTTAGGATCTTCGCATTTTGCTCACTTATAATCGTACTTCCGACTAAACTTTGCTTTGATTTCTGTACGACACTTAATGAAGGTGATAGTCTAGTTTATTCTAATAGGGCTCTTGCCTCGTTCGGAAAGTAGAAGGTTTGCCATTTCTTTCACAGCTTAGTGTTGAGGGAAACGGACTTTCCCGCTGGGAAACAGTGGGTTTTTACACCCAAAATAACAGGTTATCCCTGTGGGATCGTCCAACTCCCAGTTTAGTTTACGGGTGAGACAGTGGCGCCATACTACTCGGTGGTTTGTCCACCTACGAGTGAAGCGAGTACTCGGTGTTCCACCCACTCGCTTCGCTCGTAGGTGGCGACAGCAAGTTGTGCGTGCGACAGCAAGATGTGCGACACATAAAACGAAGAAAAAGACGCCTTATATATCAACTATATAACTATATAATTAAAACATAAAATCAATAGAACTACTATCACTATCGCTACTGCCACTATTGCTACTATCACTTTGATCCTTACTATACCGTAAAATGATCACTTTTGATTTCAACCCTTCCTTCTTCCGCTCTGCTACCCGCTTCCTCTCAACCTTACGCTCTTCAATTTCGATTTTACGTGCTTGCGCTTGTAGCTGCTTTACTACTTGGTCCGATTCCCTTGCTGCTCTTGCGTCTGCTTTTGCTTGCAACTTTGCTTTCTTCTCTTCCCGCATTTTCCGTGCATCTGATGCATATAACTGCCCTCCTTTCTGTAGTGATTTCCGTGCCCTTGCCTTTGCTGCCTTCTGCTCTACTGCACGTAGAGTCATAATATCTAGCTCGGTCTTATAGAGCTCTGCCCGGTGTAGAACAACTGTAGTTCCACGTGCAAATGATTGAAACCCTTCTCTTGAAGGCGATGAGAAAGCTTCCTCTGCTCTCTTCTGCCAATGTTCAACCGCTTGCACACTTTGCATAGTTGTTTTCGGTGTTGAGATAATATTATATGAAGCAAATGGCTCATAATCAGGTGTTTGATTCCGAGTCTCTTGTATCTTGTCAATTACAAGTGGAGGATTATATGGATATAGTCCTGTATTTCTCCAACCAGATTGAATTGTACGGACAGTTAGAGATTGCCGTCGGATTTGCGGGAGGTCTGAAAGGAACGTACGTAGCTTATACTCATAGTCGTAGCTACGTACTGCTTGATCAAGTGCCTTTTGATGAAAGTGTTTGCACTGCTTAAAAACCGCTACATCAAGAGGTTGTAATAGATGTGTTGTATGAGCAGGAAGGCAGCAAATAACAATGTTATGCTCTTCTGCTAATGTAAGAAAGCGCTCTGTTTTATGAGAGTCATGGCCGTCAAGTAATAAGAGGCGAGTATCATCTGGTGCCATATGCTCTGCAGATAGTTGGATAAAATGCATAAGGTATTGGATTGCAATGTCGTCGTTTGAATACCCGCTCTCATTTACAATAATGAGAGCATTTGGCTCAAGGTCATCATTGTACCATGAATCCATATGAAGTTTACCAGGGATAATGATAGCTTCTGCAAGTGCAGCACCACTTGCATTTACTGCCTCAATTACAGTAACAGAGAGCCGATTCTCAGGATTATCAACAGTCCACTGCTTTACACCGATTGGTACAATAACAGCCGTAGACTTATAACACCCAATCATATAGCCTGTCTCATCAACATTCCATAAATTATATGGCTTAATGTTATGTTTTGTAATAAGGGCGTTATATGTGAGAAAGAATTCCTCAAACACCTCTTTCTTTTGTGCTTGCTTCCGATGTGTATTTAACGTCTTCGTGTGAATTGTATGAAATTCGGGGTGTGCTTTTAGAAAGCGTTGTAGCCACCGTTGTGATGGTATCGTACGATTAGGTCGTAAGTCTGCAACTGCCCGTAGTATCATAGATCGGTTGGCAGGGACCCCGCGCTCAAGTTGGTCGTATATGAATTGACAGACCGCGGTCTCTTGCGATTGAGATAAGACTCGATTGCTACCTCCGTGGGGTAATTGAGGAGACGTAGTACTCGTAATACGACGTCGGAGTGTCTCACGGTTGACATTGAATTTATTTGCAACCCAAGCAATTGTATATGTACTTGGTTGTTTTAAGAAGAACTGTTGGGCCTCATTAAGGCGAGCAATCATAGTAGGATCGTTATTTTGAGGCATTGTAGATACTACGTTATGAAGAATACTATTATTTTTTCTATATATCAAAATAGCGGTGTACGCACATCTTGCTGTCGCACGCACAACTTGCTGTCGCCACCTACGAGCGAAGCGAGTGGGTGGAACACCGAGTAGGTGGCGAAAGCGAGTTGGGTATGCGAAAGCAAGTTTGAGTATGCCACGTCGCCTCATGAAAACCACTTCAATACTACCAATTCATGAACAATACTACCAATATGCCTCCAACCCATGATTCTGAATATAAATCTCGCATTGCAGAAGCCGTGCAGTTCTTTTTAAAGCCTCCACAAGCCCATACAATCTCCTGGGTCGCTACAAAATTTGACATTAAGTACGAAACTCTACGATGACACATATCGAAGCCGACATCTACAACGCGCAAGCCATATGGAGGACAAAACCGAGTATTGACTTCTGCACAAGCTGCTGCAATTTGCCAATTTATACATGACCAACTCGAGCGTAGTATTCCTGCAAATCGGAGTACGCTACTACAAGCTGTCGCAGACTTGCGACCAGGCAAAGAGCTGCCCTCTCGACGCTGGCTTCAACAGTTCCTTAAAGCCCACCCTGAATTCCACTCTATTCGTACAAAGGCATTAAATACTCAGCGAAAGCAAGCCCAGAATCGGTCAAATTTTGAGGACTTCTTTATGAAGTATAATGCGATTATTACAAAATATAATATCAAGCCATGCAATCTCTGGAACTTTGATGAGACAGGTTACATAATTGGATGCTATCGGTCTACAGATGTAATTGTACCAGTCGGAGTAAAGCAGGTAAGTTAACTCTATTCTAAAGAGTTCAATACTAATGTATAAAGTAGATTGTAGATAATCCTGATAATCGACTCTCTGTTACTGTCATCGAAGCTATAAATGCTGAAGGATATACACTTCCTGAGTGTATTATATTACCAGGAAAGCTTCATATGGAGCCATAGTATGATAATCTTGAGCCTGACGCTCTTGTAATCATTAATGACAGTGGATATACGAATGATGCAGTTGGAATTCAATATCTACACCACTTTATTCAACATTCAGCAGCGTACTCATCATGTAATGAGACTCGACTATTGATAGTTGACGGTCACGATTCACATAAAACTGAGCAGTTTATCACAATAGCAGAAGAATACAATGTTATTCTATGTGCGCTTCCACCTCATACAACACATCTGCTTTAGCCGCTTGATGTTAAAGTTTTCCAACAGTGCAAGCACTTCCATCAAAAGGCTCTTGATAAAGCAGTCCGGAGTTTTGATTATGAGTATAAACTTCGAACATTCCTGTCTGATCTACCACATATTCGCAACCAGTCATTGACTGTAAAGACTATACAGTCAGGGTGGAGGGAAGCTGGACTTTGGCCATACAATCCAGCATTAGTTATTGATAAACTAAAGGATGCTAGGAACGAAACTCCAGAGTATGAAGATCCTATTGCATACAATACTACAATGACACCTAAAACGAGTAGGCAGACAGTACAAGGGGTTGAGCATTGGCAAAGGAAAGCTGAACAGGTTTTTAGCTCTCCATCTCAGCATGGATTTGAAGCTTTTGCACGTGGGGCTACAATGGTTTTACACCGAGCAGAATTGTATAAGACAGAGCTTGATATTGTTGCTCTCCGCACATTTCAACAAAGGGAGGCAAAGGCTCGGGCACGGAAAAGCTTACAGAGTGGTGGTCAACTATATGCTCATGAAGCACGTGCAAAAAGAGAAGAGAAGGAAGCAAAGGCAAGGGCAAAGGCGGATGCGAAAAAGGTACGAGAGTCAGCTCAGGTAGCAAAACAGCTACTAAATATGGCTAAGCGGTCTGCAATTGAATACCGCAAAGCAGAGCGTAAGCGTGTTGCAGACCGTAAAGCAAATGGTTTGAAGTCGCTTGTAGTGGTCTTACAGTATAAGGCATACAAGAGTGGCGACGACGAAGATGAAAATGAGTCGGTACAAAGTTTAGATAGTGAAAATAGCTCTGTTAATTTTATATTGTTCAGGTAGTTATCTATCAATACTACGCTATTACCTCGTTGATTCATATATATGTACATCGTATTGATGCATACCCAAACTCGCTTTCGCATACCCAACTCGCTTTCGCCACCTACGAGCGAAGCGAGTAGGTGGACAAACCACCGAGTATTGGAAGCCACTGATCCAAACCCAGCTGAAGCCCGGAAAGCTCAGCTCATCAGGGTTTTGGGGGTTTCCCCCAGGGCTACAAATAGCGTACGTAGGCCCGTAGATTAGGTAGTAATTCAATTTGATCTAACGTGGTTTATCAGTACGTCGGACATATCAGTACCTCGGACACTTTTCATTGGCATTCTACTTTGAATATCAATAAATCAACCATAACATATTAAATTAACTATAACTAAGCGGAATCAGATGAACTAGACATATCTAGCTTCTTGACAAGTTCGCGCATTATGACCAGCTTTTCCACAGATCCCACAGCATCGCCTAGACGGTTGCCCCTCCTTGCGACTACCCCCAACCGCACGTACGTCGCGTCGTACCTGCTCATCCACATCCTTCTGTGCAATAATAGCCTGTGCATCCTCTACTATAAGTGCACCTCCTTCACGGACACGAGCCTTTTTAGCCCTGCGGCGTTTGCTAAGGGCTTCGTTGGCTGCTCGAAGGGTACGTACCTCAGCAGACAGAAGGGTGTTCTCATGTGCTAGTCGCTCCGTACCCTTTGCCAATGCAATAACTGTCCCGAAGAGTGGAGTTGGCGAGCTTCCTTGGTGACGGGCAATTTGATTTCGAACGAGGGTTGTTTGTGAAAGAGCTTCAGTTGGGTTGGAAGGGGTCTGGGAGACCCAAGGGTTGGTGTTGGCAGTAGAGGGTCTAGAGGGAGTTGGAGTCCGTAACCTCACGTCAAGCTTTGAAAGCACTGCTTGCGGGTCGAAAGGCACTAAGCCAGCTCCGCGGAACCCGGACTGGGCGTTTTGGGCTGTCATGGATTCCAGATATGCTGCTCTAAAGGTGAGAAAGAACTCAACCTTGGTAATGTGGTTGATATGAGCCTTATAATGAAGGTCTCAATCTGCTGACCATATGCCCGCTTCAACACACTAAAGCACCCGACATTAAGTGGCTGAGTTAAATGAGACGAGTGGGGAGGTAGTCCAAGAGTTATAATGTTGTGTGCCTTGCAGTACTCTTGGAACTCGGCCGATTCATGACTCTCGTGCCCGTCTAACACCAGCATTCGATATGGACCCCTTGCACGAACAGCAGTATGTTTGTCAAAGTGTTTCAACCATTCTAGACCCGTCTCATTGTTTGTCCATCCATTGCTTGTCGGTTTAACAACCCAGTTGTGTGGAAGGCCGCCGTCTGTATACCAATTTGCAAGATGATTCTTGCCTTTAACTACCAAAAATGGAGGAATACTCCAGCCGTCACTGTTGATAGAAGCAATCGCTGTAGCCCATTCCCGATTCCCTGGCTGAACTGCCTTACCTCTGCCAAGTCGATCTGCACGGGTAACAACCATTGCAGGGCAAATCACACCCATCATAAACCCAGTTTCGTCAAAGTTATAGAAGTCGCAGTCCAAAACACCATATTTTGCCCTCATATTTTCCACTAGTCGAAACCACGCGCCAATTAGTTCAGGATCTTTGCACAAGGCCCTTTGGAAGTCGTAAACGCGATTAAAACGCATCTTTAATTCTGGACGTCGTTGTACAAATCGGTGGGCCCAGAGCTTCCCGACGCGCCTCCCTCCACGCGATTCGAGTATAAAATTTGCCATATCTTCTACACCAGCAAGCCGGGGTGCAAATCCTCTTGAATCCATATCAAGTATATTCCGAATAACCACCTCCTCTTCTAGTATAGTTAATTTCATCATTGCAGGCCGGCGTTCGTAGACAGTAGTTCGGCCGTTCATTCTGTCGCAGAGTGTAGAATGAGGTACTTCATAGAGCTTAGCAGCCTTCCGACGACTTAGATTTTTTGATGTTCGGATAGCCTCGATAGCTAGAATGATTTTTGCTTCTTGGGTAATCACTGACATAATAAAAGGTGGAAAAAACGCGTTGTGAAGTTAGAGGGTAGGAAAAAGTGTCCGAGGTACTGATATGTCCGACATACTGATAAACCACGTTATATACTGTATTTACCGTGTTCTACTGTGAAGCTTCTGCTCCGTTACCCGCAAGGAATCAATTACGGTGGTTGGGGATTACCATACAAATCCGTTTGTAATTCCCACTTTCCGCAATCACCTCTAACACTTAGGGTCGGGGTGGAAATCCACGTGAATCTAAGTCGAGAATGTATTAAATGAGAGCTGACTCTTCGTATTAAGTCAACTTACGTGAGTTAGGAGTAGAGTCGCGTCGAGAAGTCATACCGTTCATTCTGTTGCTTAGGGTCTTACGTGGCACGTCCTACGATAATGCAGCAGCTCGGACAGTCTTAAATTGACGTTCCTTTAGTGCCTGAATAGCTAATAGTATTCTACCCTCTTTATTAGAGGATTGGGGTTGTGCTGATTGCGGTATGTTGTCTGTAGTCAAAGTTGACGTGTTTTGGTGTTTTTGGGCAACTCGCCCGTGTGGGCAACTCGCTCGTGAAATACATTATAAAGTTGTTAATTACTAAAAAGGACGTAAATAGTGGCTATAGAAAATGAAGAAGTTGCGATTTTGGTTAATTTACTATGTAAAATGTCGTGAACGCATATCGCGAACGCATATCGCTTACCACCACGATTATACTGTGGCTTAGCGTTTTGAAAGATTGCAGATCGACATGTGCGCCGCGATTGCGTACGAAGCACATGTCTTGGCAATTTAAGCATTCTCTAGCATATTATGGTACAGTGTGAACAACTTATATTAAGTTGAGATGCCTAGTTCTAGCCAAGTAGGATAAGCCTAAAATTCTATAGCACGTAGGCTACAGAGGATGATGATCCTGGAAAATCGCCCTTGATGGAACTACGGACGGACTCAACAATTGAGGACGGGGGTGAGGACGCGTTCGACATTTGCCTCAAGTGAGACGGCCTTTCTGGCGCTGTCGTAGTTGGAGAATGTGGAGGGAACTCGTGAGTTAGAAGCTCTGGGGTCGGTTCCTCAACATGATGTCGGAATGTGGGTGCTCCAGTTGGGAGTGTAGCAGGGACAGCAGTTGGGGCTTCATCACTATGGGATGGGTTATCCGATGATGATGATGTCGACGGCGCCACTGCTCCCCTGTCCACATCCTTCCCCTTATCGTTCTTGTTCGCAGCGGCCTCTATCGCAATAGCAGAGCTTCCGCTGTTTCCCCGCCTCCGCCCCACGCCAGGAAGAACCAGGCTCAATGCGCTCCCACTTATACTGGTAGCACCGCTACCGTATACTCCTTTCTTAGCAGCCTTTTCTGCTTTCTTCTCTGCCTTCTCTCTCTTCTTAGCCTCCTTCTTTGCATCCTTCTTTGCATCCTTCTTTGCATCCTTCTCGTCCTTTCGCTTGCGCTCCTCTTCTGCGACCAGGCTCTGACGAATAGCTTCCATCATCATCATCTCCTCCAGGTCCTCCACCCGTGACCTCCTGCGCCTCGAGCCAGGGTCGGCCTGCGCCTCACGCCTCTGGGCCTGTTGCTCCGCTAACGTCGAGAAGGCAGCCAATCGAGCTGCAGCGTCAGGCCCCTGCTCGGTTGGGGTACCCGCGCTACTATCCACTGGACTACCACGGTTACGAAAGCGGCTTGAAAATCCAAAGCTCCTGCTTTCTGAACCCCCACTTCCCATCATATAAGCAGCTGTATGAAGAGCGGTAGCCGCGGCCGATCTCCGCGCAACGTGATTCCTGGCATTTGCCAGCTTAGTTGCCCAGTCTGGCCTTACTTTGTCGGTAGTAATGACTGTGGCATCGCTAGCTGATACCGAGGTCGTCCTTCGTCGTCCAGCGATTGGTTTAAGTGAAGGGCTGACTGCGGAATTTAAAGACGATGATGATGACATTGCAGAGCCATAGCTTGTTGGCCCTAAGTTTGCATATGTCAAACCCCGCCTGAACGGGGGAGCTTCGTATGTTACCCCAAATTCTGCTTGTTGGCAATAAGGGCAATTAGCAGGTTCCGAAACCAAGGTCTCTGGGTTCTCTTGCGAAGGATTTGAGGGATCGTTATGCTCGTGCTCCGGAGGATGAGGGTCGGGCCGCTTAATCTGTACGAAGCACTCGGAGCAGATGGGCTGGTCGCAGCACCGGGTTTTGTTTAGGTATGGTGGATAGTATATGAAGCAGATCGGGCACTCTGTAGCGTCTTTGTATAGAAATGCTTCCATACGCAAGCCGTTAACGTAAGGATCGACGGGAAGTTGAACCTCACGAGGAATTATGTCGCTTTGAGGTGGGTTTTTCGACGTTAAGGATGCAAGAGTCTTCGACCGTGGGCGAAATGGTGATGACGCTTGCAGATGAACCGGTTGGTTGGGGAGTGGAGATGACGGTGAAGCCGGGAAAGCCGAGTTTGCTGGTGACAGATGGGAGGAGTTATCTGAGGCGTATGAATCGGATCTTCCCGCGATAGGTACGGTGAGGTTACTTATGTTGTTGGTCGAAGCACGAGGTGATTCTACGGTTGGAGGTCTCTCGAGCTCCAGAGGTATTTCATCCGCAGCTGGTATAGGAAGGCCCTTTGCGGCGGCACCGAGCTGATGCTCGGTCCATTCGTGGTGGAAGTCGTTGAGGCCGTACCAAAATGGTGCTATGCGTCGCTCAATCTATAAGGGTCAGCAATTGAAGTTGCATGTTGTATGTGGACAGCCTACCATAAATTGCCTCACAACCGGTTTGCTGAAGTCCTCAGTGCCGGTATAAACTCCTTGCGTGACCAAGTATCCCCCGTCGACATGCTCTTCCTTCATGCTCCTCGTACGCTCCTTCTCCCTTGCCACCCTTTCCTTTTCTAACCTCCTTGCCTCTCTTTCCTGCTTTGATTCCCTGCGCACCTCCGGTCCATCGACGGGGTGTAAGGTCGACCCTATGCCCAAGAATGATAGATCATGGCGGCTTCCCCGACCGCTGCGTGCGGAATACGGGTTTGTCGATGGGTTCGCTGATCCCGCTTGTGATGAACTCGCATCCTGATGGCGACTGTGGTATCCAACAGCAGAGGAAGGTCTCTGCTCCTTTGTTGCGCTGTTCCCCATGGAGGATGTACAGCTGCGGGGACCACCTCGCGACGGGGAAGTTGGTCAAGCAGTCAGTGTGTATGGGATGTCGTGAGACGGTATGGGATTGCAAGTTGGGTGCGTGAGTAAGTGAATGGAGTAGTAGTGAGTGATTAGTGGGCTGCATTCGCTTGATCTTATCCGTACGGAAATCCGGTTGGCGGTGGTGGTGGTGGTGGAGGGAGGTACTTGGTGCAATCCAGTACAGTCAGTAAACAGTTAAAGTGCCGTCAGGTAATCTCGAATCAATAAAGTCAATAAAGCAACTTTCCAATACTTTCCCATTACTGACTGCGGAAGAGGGTCCTCGGTACTTACAGTGCAGTACAGTACTATAACTTCTCAGTAAGTTAAGTAAGTTAGAGTACATATAAAACCCCACCTGCCAGCGCAAGTGAATGGGGTATTTTGTCCCGCGCGCGTGTCGCAAGTGTGGACAGAAGTGGGTGGATAAGTTACGGATAATCTTAACTCATTTTCAAGTTGAGAAGAAGATTTTCGTGCTTCAAGGGATTTTTCTTCCCGTTGCGTCGACTATATAGTCTATAACGTACCAAAGAAAGAATCTTCTTGGTTACAAATACAAATAAGGGCAACACACCAAAAGCGAAAAGTCTCCGCTCTCTTGGTAGTCTTGTCACGAGCAGCATCACGTGTAGATTACGATCACGTGTGCTACGGTGCCAGCCTAACCTTGAGAAATTCATGCCATGAACTCATTCTGATTCATCACATGTACAGGCGCATACGTGAACGAGCCAACTCTTTCTCCAAGGACGTCGACTTCTCAAAGCCAACAGCTACCTAGGTATATTGCCAGGCCATATTAGCCAGAAGATGCGGGATTAGCTCACTCTGCACAATTTATACTCGAAACATGCGAGGCTGCATTCCTTTAATAGATATCATATGGCTGAACCATGCATAATTACGAGCATTTCAGCCTCCAATTTGCAGGGGTCGCATTTCGATATCTTGTAAATATCTCTCACAATGAGGTATTTGTTGCTACTTTCGTCGCTCACTATGACGTCCCATCTTGCATCTCCCGTCTCTCATATCGTGCAATTGCTGCTGTTGTTGACCCAACCACACGTGCTGTCCAAGTGTCTAAAGAGGGATGTGGATTCACACCTACTATGAGTAAAATAAAATATCTCAATCGCTAGGAGCTATAACTGCGAGGAGAAGCTCCGCTCGTTGAAATCGATAATATAACTTCTGAGCTGTGGAGAATCCGTCTCAAAAGACTTTTGGGTCCACCAGTATAAAATTACTCATGATTTTTTTAAATCATACACAGAAAATTCCCAGAAATTAAAATACTACATATGGCAATCATAAATAATATATCGATAACAAATATTAAATAAATCTTTAACAGATAGACAAACACTCTACATTTAAGACTTGTTAGGCTCATTGGCGGTTCAACAATGGCGAGGCCCGCCGCGCCAAGCCGGAGTCGATCCCTTTTTCACGGCGGCAAATTCCGTGCCGAGCAAAATGTTCCTGGAGATCTTTAACTCCGACCTCGCTCACCAGGCCCTCACGCACCCTCCCACGCATCCAGGACCGCCATTCCTGCGCCCCTACATCCTCACCATGGTAAGCCTTACATCTCCCCTTGTCCCTCCTCCCTCCTCCAAATCCCACTCACAAACCGCACCCCTTTCCCCTTCCCCCCCGAGCTCCTCGCTAACCACCCGATCCCAACAGGCGCATCGCATAATCACCCAAGTCGTGATAACCGGCACACGCGTTCTTGGCCGCGCCTTCACCGAAGCCTACAAGCAAGCCGCCGCCTCCTCGCAATACCAAAAAGCGCAAGCCAAGGCGAACGGCGGCGCTGTCGGGGCAGGGTACGCGCACTCCGGGCTGACGCTCGAAGAGGCATGCAAGATCCTCAACGTCAAGCCGCCCAAGGGCGGCAAGACGGATATGGAGGACGTGATGGCTCGATTTAGGAAGCTGTTTGATGTCAATGATCCGAAGAAGGGAGGTAGTTTTTATCTACAGAGTAAAGTGCTCAGGGCGAGGGAGAGGATTGAGAGTGAGGCGAGGAAGGCGGAGGAGGCGGAGAGTAGGGAGGAGGAGCTGAAGAAGGGGTGGAAACCGAAGGTATTCAAGGATAGGTAGTTGTGTGGTTGGCCGGCGTTAACGCTGAATAGAGCTGAGAATCGTGAATTACTGCTCTTTTGCGGCGGCGGGCAAAGAAGGGGGCAGGGAGGAAATCGACGCCTTACGAAGACGATAATTGAGGATGGATCGGTCACCATCGCCACGCCCACTTTCCGGCTGCGAGAGCAACAGCAAATCTTCACTCTGTATTGGACATAGCAACGGCGTTTTGGGTTTTGGTGTACGCGAGAGAGAGAGGGAGAGATGTATGTTGAGCTTGTAAATGTACGATATATTAAGATGGGGAGCATTGGGGGGGCTTTTAGAACGTTGAAAATTACGGGCACAAAGTTAAATTAAATGTAAGAACAAGTTTTGATTCATGCAAAAAATCACCTAAAGACAACTATACTCTGATCTGTGACCCTTTCACCTCGAAAACCAGCAAATGTACCCTCCTATTTATGGCACACACCAGTTACATCCTGGGAAACGCCAAACATGCATGCAATATTAAAATTGGAGTCCGAAGAGTAGTATGGGTGACAGAGATACCCAATCAACGAAGAGTGAGTAGAGGCACCCAAGCGACGAAGAATGATTCCAGAGTAAAATGACGAAGTCGAAAATGTGCGTGTATTTAGTATGCGCAGCTTATATATCAGCCGGCGCAGTGAGGATCGAGAACTGTCCACCAGCACCAGCGAAGTTCAGCTTCTTGCCGCGAACAGCAGTGTTGTCGATGTGAGTTGCGATATCCACATCATCATCGCTTCCCTGACCAGTCTGGTAATTGGCACTGAAGCCCCAGCTGTAAGCCTTGCCCTCAGTGTCGACAGCGAAAGAGTTGTCACCGCCAGCAGCAACAGTAGCAGCCTTGATACCTGGAACGACAACTGGAACTGTAACCATGCGAGGGTTCTCGCGCTCATCAAAGGTGATGTGCTCTTTGGGGACCTTGGAGATATCAACACCAAGCTGACCTCCATCGGAACGGCCCCATGCGAGAAGCTCGCCCTTATCGGTGCAAGCAATTGAGTGGTGACCTCCGCCAGTGATCTCCTTGATGTTGTAGGGCTTGAGCTCAGTGACGACGGTTGGTTTCGGGATCACTGCATTGTCCTCACCAGCACCCTCGACAATGCCACACTCGCCAAAGTTGTTGAGGCCCCAAGCCCAGACGCGGCCATCCTTGCTGACGGCGAAGCTGTGGTATGCGCCGGTAGCAACCTGTTCAATCCTGCCACGAGGAAGGCCGAATTCACGGGGAATGAGGCCACCGGTACGTGTGCGCTCCACGACTCTGCGACCAAGCTGGTTCTGCTGGCCACTGCCCCAGGCCCAAACGTTGTTCTTGGCATCGAGAGCAAGGATGTGGTTGGCGCCGGCGGACAGGGTGGTGATCTTCTTCAGCTCCGGGATCTTCATCGGGGTGTTTTGCACCATGATCTCTGGAGTGAACCCGAGAATGCCGTCGTTGCTCTAACAAATAGTTAGTAACTGATACAAATAGCGCCAGGATAGGATACTCACTCTAAACGTGCCCCATCCCCAGACAGAGCCATCGGCAGTCACGACGAACGTAGCGCTATCACTTGCGCAAACTTGAGTGAACACGATGCCCTCTGGGAAATGCTTGGGGTCAACGGCTGCAGGTGTGCTTTCGCGTGGGTTCATGGCATCCTCGTCGTCAGACTCTGAGCCGCTATCGATTCCATCGTCCATGTCCTTGAGACCGCCTTCCCACTTCGTGTCGCGGCCCAGTGCACCCTGGTCATTGACACCCCAAGTGAGGATCTTGTTGTCGTGGGTCAAGGCAGCGCAGTGCATGCCTCCAACCGAAATCTGAACGACGCCGACCTTCGAGGCGGACAGGTTCTCATTGAGACGGGGACGCTTGACATCAATCGGCTTCTTGTTGTCGATTGTTTTGTTGCCAAGGCCAAGCTCGCCAGAAGTGCCTTCACCGAAGACGTAAACATCCAATTTCTGAGTGGGAGCCTTGTTGATGGTAGGGCCGAACTTGACGACCTTTGGTGCTGGCGCTGGAGCTGGCTTTGGGGCCGCCTTTGGCTTTGGTGCCCTTTTGGCCTTTGGAGCAACCTTGGGCTCAGCAGCAGCTTCATCCTCGGAGGCCTCTTCTTCTTCAGATGACTCCTCTTCCTCGACCTTCTTGGGCTCGGCTTTCTTTGATTTGGCAGCCGCCTTCTTTGGCTTGGCAGCCTCGGTCTTTTTCTCCGCAACCGCCTTCTTGACGGGCTTCTTCTCGACGGCGGCCTTCTTGGCGACAGTCGCCTTCTTCAATTCGGCCGCCTTCGGCACGGCGATCTTGCGGGCTGCGGCTGTTTGGGGTCAGTGCAATCCAAAGCTCCATGTTGGAAAGGTCAAGAAGGATAAAAGCTTACGAGTAGCCCTGGTCTTCTTCGAAGCGGTCTCTTCACCGACCAGCGCAGCTGCTTTGCGCTTTGGTGCCATCCTGGTGCCAGGACTAAAGAGTCAATGGATTGTTCTGATGTATGTAGTTGAATAGATCCGAGGTGCGATTCTCGAAAGCGCCAGAAATTGCGACGCGTGCGGCGAACAGAAAAGGAGTTAACACAAGGGTGAAATAAAGGTAAATAGCGAATTATGAAGAGCGGAAGTGGATATTGCAGTGTGCAATGGGAAAGAGTATGAATCCGCTCAAAGAGGTTGTTGAAAAAAATTCCAGTACGCCGGCTCACAACAAAGAAGCCCTCGATGTTTATAGCCTCGCGCGCGCAATAATGAAATAATATTGGAGACGGAGTGGACGGCACGTACCCGTTTTTGTGGTCAGCGATGGTACCTGCAGGGGCTGCCTTTCTGGCTCGCAAAGAGTAACCCATCTCGAAATGGGGGTTCTGATTGGTCAGGGGGAAAAGGTTGGTTTTCTTTGATGAGTCAGCAGTGATTTCGAGACCCGTTTGAGAAGATGATATTCACCAGAGAGTGAGTGATTGATTAAGTCGAGTCGAGAGGTTTTTAAAAAGAACAAAATTGTGGAAATAAGTGTAAAGGAAGAAAAGTAGAAGGAAGGAAGGAACGAAAAGTATTTTCTTCATGGTTTCTCTTGCCAGTTTGAGCTCGAGACATTGAAGCTATTGTGAGATCCTCGATAGCATGGCTGCATCACGGGCACAATGGGAAATCCACAAGCTAAGACAAACTAAGCTCTAACAATAGGAGTTCATTCACATTGTCGTCAACCCTGAATTATTCTACAATAGAACCTCTACACACAACAAGAATACCATTGGGGCTTGTAAAATAATACAGTGTTCGGCAGATACTACCCAGGTAGTATCTGGGTCCTCGCCAGGTAAGGTAAGTATCTGAGCGACTTTGCTCAGGTAAGGTAGGTATTTACAGATACTTTAGCAGGTAGTTGAGCCTCAATTCCGTATACAAAAATGACGCTTTTGATATTTGAAATAGATAATGATATGTAACTAGAATATGTAACTAGAAAAGTGAAACTCGTGACAAATATAATAATAAAATAGACAGCCCCTATTCCTATTCTTCTGCCTCATCATCTGCATCATCACCGTCGCTGTCGGCATCTGGTAAATAACCCCAATTCCGTAAGCAAAGCAGATATCTAATTGTCGATGGCGACAATCTATTCCTTTTCTTAGTAATGATATCGCTACCATTGCTAAATACCCGTTCTGATGGTGCTGATGTCGCAGGAATTGCAAGATGGTCTCGAGCAACTTGAGCAATTATTGGATATTGATATTGCTTTGCAGACCAATATTTGAGAATATCAGTATGCTCACCAGGCCGTGGTTCAAGCATCCATCGTTTCCATTCTGGTTCTTCAAATGATATACCCTCTGATGCAAATAAATCTTCATCAGAATCTGGTTCTTGCACTCTAGTATTTGCATTTCCTAATGCATCTGCAAGAGCTGTTTCACGTTCAATACGCTCTGTATCCAGATGATATTGCCGTGTCTTATATGTTCTACAAACATCTTCAAACTGTGCTCTTGCCCGTGTGATTCGTACATGATCTGTACTATCTGGATATATCTTTTTAAACACTGTATGGTTCATCCGTGGATCGCAAATTGTAGCTACAGCTGAGTGCTTACATTGCTGATTTGTTGCAAGAGTATAATACGCGTGAAGCTTTTGATAAGCTACTGTGCATGCAATACCAATTGCTGAGTGCTCGCCAACTTCTTGTTGCATCTTCTTAACTTTATTTATCATTTTAAGATAAAGTGGAATAGCAAAGTTAAGTGACGGATATGTATCACTTTGTAGCCATCTTGATGGTTTGAGAAATATTAAGAACAGTCGTTCAAGATCTTTAATAACAGCCCAATCTCCTGTAGTTAATGCAATATCTTTCATACTAATATCAAGCTGTTGTGTTATGCATACTGCTGTGATTGGTATTTGGAGTTTTAATGCTGTATCAAGCATACGATGTGTTGAATTCCATCGTACTGGCATATCAAGTGATAGTTGCTGTGGTTTTAAACCTATAGCTTTGACTTGTCGTTGTAAAGCATCCTTCCATGCTCGTCGATTACGAAAGACATAGATATGTCTTCGTAGCTTTGCAAGAGCATTCATGACTTCCACATGACTATCTCTACTAAATGGAATCCGAGCTGCACCTTGCTCACACCGGTATGTCTCTGTCTCTACATCTGGTTCTGCTTTTAAACTCGTAAGAGCGGCTTGAACTGCGAGATTTATGATATGTGCAATACACCGGACATCGCCTTCTTTGACAGTAAATGTCCAAGGTTGTTGAGTTGATGTTTGGGCGTTGCTAGCCAATTTCTCATATTCTGAGAGCATCACAGTATTTGATGATGCGTTGTCTCGGGTGCATGTAAAGATAGCGCCTGTAATAGCTATACTATCTGTTACAGCTGCTAATTGCTGAGCTAAGTATTCACCGCTATGAATAGGCTCTTGAAGATGTATCACATCAAGCAATTTTGATTTCTGCTGCCATTTATCATTAATCCAATGAGCGGTAACAGCAGCATACTCTGTATAGTTCCGTGCAGACCATGCATCTGTCGTTATGGATATCCGGCCTCCATGTATAATATGAGAATGGAGTTCAAGCTGTAGTATGCCTCGGTGATATGAGAATTGGCGTTGTAGTTCTCGGTGCAATGTTCTTGACGAAAGTGATAACACAGATGGACTTAAGAACCGTACTAATTGACGATATGAATAGCTTTCGATAATGCGTAAAGACAGGTTATTAGATACTATAAACGATAGCACTAACTCTCTATATTTGGCTGGATTGTTTGTTGGTCTTGATTCATGGGTCGCTGGTCTCCGAGGCTCAAAAAATGATGATGTGCTGCTAGATTGACTTGAAGGCGCTGTATTCTTGTGTTTAAGAGCATCATAGATTCCTTTATGCTTAAGACTATAGTGTTTCCAAAGATTGCCAGTTGAAGCAGCAGCTTGAGCATGGGTTTGAGCTGCGGGCGAGTATCCGCAATTAGGCTGCATACAGCATACTTTGATAGTTGGCGGGTTGCTCTCAAGTAGTATTCTTGAATATAGTTCCTTCGTGAACAGCAGCGACTGCGTTGGCGGTAGCATTTGGCTAGGCGGGTGTAGACGGACAGGAATTGGATTTGATTGCTGAAAAGGGGTAAAAAGCCCTGGTAGGGCTGGCTCATCGTGAGGATTATAGCCATCAAGGTCCGTCGGCACGTCTGACAACGGAGAGTCACTCATTTTCACGGCAATTATCACCATATCAAGCATGAAGACGAGTATTTCAACGTTAGCATTTGTGCGGCTTGGCTACACTTGGCAATACTTGGCATGTATCTGGGTAAGTATCTGAAAATACCGGGATACTCAGGTATTTTGAGAATGAGCCCAGGTAGGTAATTACCCAGGTAATTACCTGAACACCACAGGTAATCAGGTATCTGTGCCGCACACTGAACTAATAATATCGGCTGACACATTCTTCTTTCATGAAACTTGACAGCTAAGACATTGATGCTATTTGTTCTATCTACGTGTATTCTATCTGCACACGGAACATAAGGTTCCGTGTCACTAAAATTCATCTTCATGACTATTTCATGGAAGATTATACTTTGCAAAATCTCCTCTCTGGACACAGTTCTCTCACTGTGACCTCTTTATCAGAGCGATGCTCATTCCCCAACACGATCCCCTCATCACCAAAATCACACCCCAGCAACCCCGTCCCTTCTTGATAACACCAGTATTTTGAATCAAGACTCGCCAAGAATTCAGAACCACCGTCATTTATGGCCAGCCAAGCGAATCCACCGCTTCGGAAACGCGGTCTGAATCTTTCCCCCCCCCCCCCCCCCAGTTTCCATCTTTTTCGTCTTCGGGTCGTTCCATCATAAATGCAACATTATTTGCCCAAAACACTCCCCTATTGCGCCAATGCTGTGTTTGTCCCGAAGGATCTTTCTATTTACAAGTTGTAAGTTGCTCGCAGAGCTTGTTGTTCTGCAGCTGGAAGCTGGTTGAGGAAACCATCGAAATCCGGGATAAGAGACCTATATGCAGTCAAAGCCTGTGGAAAGTTAGCGACCCAGTCACAGAGCAGAACTAAGCTCGTAATAAACGTACCTGTGTAAACAAGGTGTGGAGGTTGGCCTTGTGTTCCGTGGTGAATTCGAACTCGTGCTTATAGTGTGCAATCGAAGTGAAGAAATGAACGAGGACGCTCTCCATCGCTTGTGGGTTCCGGCCAACAATCATCGTGAATCCAATGAAGGCGGAAACCTTCTCTTCCGTATAGTCGACGCTGTCCATCGAGTTCAGGAAATACGCTGCGTATAAGGCAAGATGAGGGGCCATGGCCTCTGAATTGTCGAGACCCAAACGCCCAAGTGCAATTCCTGCATTCTCATTCACGGAAGTGGGCACCTTGTTATTTCCGAGGATATCCACGAGGCGTTGGAGCAGCTGGTCGATATATGGTGCTAGAACTTTGCCGTGTCGAATTGCAATTTCACCTAACGACCAACAGGCGTTGTTAGTAACACTGAACCCATTCTCGATTTGCTCCTCCAATACTTCAGCCAGGTTGAGTTGCTTGAGAAGCACTGGCATTATACTTGGCAGGAATGGCCCCAGTTGAGGAGCAACACATTTTGCGCAGTCTCCGAGTAACGCATATGATGATTGGCGAACATCGCTGGTTGGGTCTTCCATACAGAAAGCCAGAAGCTCAAAGAAATTTGGCTGCGCCGTTGAAACGAGCTGTGCGGACTCGGCACTATCAAGGACTTGAATAATAGCACTCAAAAGATCCAAACTTGTGACCAAAAAGTCTTTATCAGGGCTATCGTAGATAGGGTTGGTCGCAGCGAGGGCGTGGTCTTCAAGGTTCTGGTGGATAATCTTGATACACCTAGCGAAAATATCAGGCGAGTAAGGCGTGAAAGCCGTCCCAAATGCTGCCGCAACGTATGATAAACATTCCAGAAGGGGAAACAGTTCTCGAGACTGGTCGGAAACCTTTCTCCATCGGCTAATGAGTGCAGGCATCAATAAGTCGATTAGTTCGGGAGTAGCAAGGCTAGGGCCAACGTGCTCAGCCAAGGTCTGTACACAGTCGTACAGTATGAACATGTTCTTCTCCTTGTATCTGTCGAAGCAGCGTACGAATTGGCGAATAATTGGGTTGCAGTAGGGGATGAGTTGTGAGCCAGCCTTTTCTTCGAGGTGTGCAAATGCGGATGCCCCTGCCTCCTGGACTTTCTTATTGCGGTCAAGCATTTTCATCAGAAGACCCTCCATCATTGGCACGAAATACCTTGCACGGTCGGCTTCATCTGTAAGACCAACTCCCCATGCTGAGTATCTTCCAAGGGTCCAGCAGGTGATCTGCCGTACAAGTGGCTCCGTGTCATTCAGTAAGCTGATGAGGTATGGTACTAGTTCTGGTAGGTGCGGAGTAACCACATCCATACACCCTTCTGCAACGGCACCAAGAGCAAGAACTGCGGCCTCCCGGTGAGGCCAGTCTTCATGCTTTAGATTAGTCATCAGGTATGGCAGAATTGACTCGAAGACTGGTCCTCGGAAGTCCGTGGCAAAGACATCCAGTGCAGCTGCAGAGCATTTTCGTAGATTCCACTGGTCTTCTGGATTGTAATCGTCCTCATCATCCGACTCATCAATTTCGCCTTCATCGAGATCATCAAAATCGCTTCCTCCAGCCACCTTTTTGTATGCGTCGCCATTCTGTGCTTCGGCCGCTTCACCTTCGAAATTTCTGGCGTCCTTTCCACGAGCAAACGTAGGTTTAATATCCTCAGCCCTGTCATCTTCTTCTGCATCATCAATAACACCACCCAAATCGGCGATGTCGTCCTCGCTGTAGACCATGCTATCTAATAGGACTGGAATAATCCGATCAAGGTATGGCGCAAGGGCTTTCCACAGTTCTTGGTGCTCGCCCACACTAAGCCAAAACTCTGCTGCATCGCAAGCAAGATCCTCTTCGTCAGTTTGCTTTTGCTGGGCAATAATGTAATCGACCAAACCGCCGATATATGGCAGAACCTTGTCTGGGCGAACTTCCACAATTGAAACGAATGCCCGGCACACTTGTCTGCGAACATCTGTAACAGGATCATTGGCTAGTTGGAATAGATGGCCTAATAGCACATCCAAGTTGACTAGAATAGCCTGCGGCTTCTGGTGTATGAATTCATTGATGCTCATCAGAGCTAACGTCCGAACCTTCGGGAGTGGGCTTTGAGTAAACTCGACTAGTTTGGGAATAAGAACATTGAGCGGGCGTTGGCCTTGGTAGTCATTATCCAGCAGTTGCTTGTTGTCTTCGCAGATTTTGCTCAGCGCAGACATGGCGCCTTCTTGAGCCACTTGGGTGACATTTCCACTCCCATTGCTCACCAGATCCATCAGGTGAGGCAGAAGCTCTGGCCACGCAAGTATTCCACCACGCTTGACAATTTCAGTGATGACAATTCCTGCATAAATTCTGATCTGAGCATTCTTGTCTTGGAGCGCAAGTGGTAGGGTAGACCGAATAAGCGCCAGGCTTGACTCCGGTATCGTTTTATATCCCGTCCTAATGTTGTTTTTCAGAGTAATCGACGCCACTGCCCTGACGGTATGGTATTGGATTTCCGTGTACGGGAGTCCTGGTGGAACGTCGGGACTGGTGAATAGGTACGTGAGATAGTTGTTGATGTCAGGTGAATTCTGTGCTTGCGCCAGCATCTAGAACAAACGTTAGTTCTTTTACCCCTCAAAATATGCGCTTTTGCCTCATGGGGAAACATACCAGTTCAGCTTGTTTTTGCTTCGTCTTGTCGTGCCCATCGGTCGAATCTTTCAGACACCCCGCCAACTGCCCCAAGGCCTCGTCAGTCGGCTGCCACGCCATGGCAGATCCTGAAACCGGAGGTATTTCGACTATCCTTATAGACCAATTGAAATTTTCAGCTTGCTGTATATTCGCAGCGTCTGAATAGCCCGCTTCGGTCACACGGGATGTCTTGTGGGACGTCAGAAACGTTAGATCGACATCTGTTCATAGCCTCAAAATTAGCTGGGGTTCCAGATAGAGGGGTTGAAGCAACGCAAACGCCACTTGAAACGAAGAGGGCGATACCTATAAGGGGCTGAGTACCGGCCTTGTATGGTTGAAGGTCGTGGTACCTTCGGTGTCTCTTAGGAACTGTAGACTTGCTCCAGATTCCGAATCTGTTTGCTCAATCGGCGCTTCGTGAAAGCGGTGGTGGGTCCAACGGGTGCACGCACAACGAAAAAGATGTCGCCTCTTCGTGGCGGTTAGCCAAATATAATAATTTTGAAAGATGTATATCGGATCGCGAGAGCAGTAGGACGGTAATTATGCTGTCAAATACTGAAGCCGACAAATATTGTAAGATTTCCTGGAATTGACATCGTCGTCTCTGATGGTACGGGCAATTCTGATTCGCTTGCGATGGCTGAGGGCCATCAAATGTGTCCACCAAAGTCAACTTACCCCTCCAAAGCCAGCAGCTGTGACGGCGGAACAACCGCTCCGTGACCGCACCTTTTATCTTTTATGATATCCTCAACTCTGTAAAAAGCAATCCTATGTTTTATCTACATATTTTGAGTAACATAAAATATGGGCCACTATTCGCTGCTGCTTTATTGTAACCGTTCCCCATGAACGCACATAATTGTGTGTTCGCTCTTTGCCATATCTGCGCTGTGATGCTTAAGTCATCACAAGTCCATAAGTTAGAGCCATAGTATGGATCCACAACCTTATAACTTTCCGTTTTTATCAACCTGCAGATTTGATGGCACTCAAGGGCTACTCCTCCTCGACATAACTATCAAATTTAGCGATTTTAAGACTTCTTTTTACATAGCTTTTCTGGCAATTAATAATAATGGGAACTAAATAGTATCGGATAGGAACGCTGCAAATGCAAATACCTATGTAATTTGAATTGGCATATGACATATGTGACCACAATCACTGACATTAACTGTATGTTCGTTGAGGCCTGGCCTACTGATGAGTCGTTCTTTCGTCTGTCATACAAATTTGGGATACACAAATCTGGTATTTCATCTGTATTACTACAGCAGAGCAGGTAGTAATCTTAGCAGAAGAGAGGCACACCCGTTTCCATGCATATCCTGCCCTCTAAACAAGGGGGTGGGTGAGCTGGGCATCATGTGAGAATCGAACTGCAGACGATTCGATATACTTTCTTGGCTTTCGCAGTGTCTCACGAACCCCTCACACCAGGTAAGTTCATGACGCACGCCTTCCCGCACGTTGCGCAAATGCCGTGTAAAATGGCGTTCATAGACACTGGACGACAGTGCTTCATTCTCAGACCACAGCATAGGCCTATATGCCCAATGGCACGCTTGAGAGCCACAAATGGGTTCGGTTACAGATGACCTCCATCCCAGACGAGTAGTTTGCAGGTTATTGATTCCAGTGTGTTTGAAAAATGTGCATTCTCATGAAGCATGTTTGATTTCGACATCGCTTGGTTGACTGAGATGGTCGACCTCGGCCATTACCACTTCCACAACAGCCTTAAACCCGGCCATCTCTTCCTCGACGGTCCCTCCCATGCCTGCGCTTGAAAACTCTATTGAATTGCCGACATATACGGGTATCTTGCTTTTCCTTGCTAGGAGCTTGGCTAGGCGGGTTGTGAAATCGATCGAGGATTCGTAAGTGTAGAGTTGGGTACACAAGGTCTGGCCTGGATTCACCCGCTATAATCGAGGTGTCAGCTTCTGGATAACTTCGTGGGTCCATTTCTTCAGGGACTATACTCACATCTGGTAAAGCATAAACAAAAGACCCCAAAGCAGGTTTGGTGGCATTCTCCCCTCCGAAAACTGTGGTCAACAGAAGGAGTATGGAGGTCGCGCTGATTGTCAGACGGATATAGATTTTAGTTTGCGGTGCATTTGGAAGCGGAATCGCGAGTTCAATCGGCTTTCCTGCCCGCCATCCGGTTCGATCCAGAGTTTCAGCCATGTTGTAACTGTCCAGTGGTGTGAACCTTTGGTGGGAGTGGATGTTTACATGATGTGTATGTAGGGACTCTGGAGGGGTCCATGGTGACGAAGGCGGTGACTCGATTTTGCCAGCCTGGTACCTCGCAACTGCCAAATGCGGAAACTAGACACATTCAATGGAGAGAAGTTGATAATGTGCATAGTTCGTCCTCTTTCTTGTCTATGATTGCGTGATGTCCCATAACATTGAGGAGTCCAACTTCTCGTCTGCATCAAGTGATGCGGATGAGGGGTGGGGAGGCGTTGCGGAGGTCATGGGGGACGAAGAGGAGCAGAAGGTTTTGTTTCAAGCGCTCGATTCATTCCTGTACGTTTCTCCTGTTTCTCAGCCTTGTCTGGCATCGAATTCTTCTTCTGCGGTTATCATTTTAAATGCCAATGAGCCTTATCTTGTGGATGCTCGTGACGTGCTTCTGTGCCCGGTTCCAGAAGCGCACACCACACCAATGATTCTCCAAGAGCTGATTGTGTGTGAATAGTCAATATACCAAGATTGCCCACTATAACACAACGCATATGAGAAGGCAATCATTCTATGCCCTCCCTCAGAAACACTGGGAGCTTCTTGCAGCCCCTCCGTTTTCCTATTTAAACACCCTCAATGCGGTGGACGATGCCATTGACAAAAATGGTGAACTCGCTGCAGCTATTCTCCAGTCAGGTCTCGAATCGTTCGAGTCTTCAATGGATTTTGACAAACTTAAGTCGTCTGAATTGTGGAAGGGAGTGGCAAAAGCAGGCGACCTTGACAAAGCGAGAAGCACAATTCGCCAGTTCTATAGAGACTGGTCTGCGGAAGGCGCTGTCGAGCGAAAGGCATGCTACGGACCCGTTATGAATGATCTGAAGGCAGAGCGTGTGAAGCGCGGTGGCAAAACCATGAATGTTCTGGTACCTGGCGCTGGGCTTGGACGCCTCGTTTTTGATCTCTGCTGCGAAGGCTTCAACGTCGAAGGCAATGAGATGAGCTACCATCAGCTCCTTGCTAGTTCTTACATCCTCAATTACTGCTCCGGTGCTCAGGTCCACACAATATTTCCTTGGGTTCACAACTTTTCCAATCATCAAAACCGTTCTCGGCAACTGCAATCATTTAGAATTCCAGACATCCACCCTGGGACGGCGCTGGACGAAAAGAATAGCGCCGGAAACGGTACTCACAAGGCAGGCGAGATGTCTATGAGCGCTTCTGACTTTATCTGTCTATATAACGATGAAGAACATAAGGATATGTTCGATGCTATCGCGACCGTTTTTTTCATAGACACGGCCCCGAACTTGATCCGGTACATCGAGACAATAAGGAATTGTCTTAAGGCAGGAGGGATATGGAGCAACATTGGCCCTCTCTTGTGGCACTTTGAGAACAACGCCCCTGGCTCCTTTGGAACCAAAGATGCTGGCAAAAAGATCGTGGAGACCACTGGTAAGCAACTTGACGCGCAAGGATATCATGTTACTGACTACTTAAGGTATTGCTGACCCTGGGAGCATTGAGTTGACAAATGAAGAGGTTATTTCTCTGGTCGAACACTTTGGGTTCAAGGTTGAAAACAAAGAGTCTGGTATCAAAGCGGGATATATCCAGGACGATGAAAGCATGCTCCAAAATACATATCAAGTTAGCCACTGGGTGGCAAGGAAGCTTTAATCTGACAAGCACTTAGCTTATCGAGTGGAAATTCGCATATATGAGCTACCCATAGATATAGAATATGGCTTTTAAGAACATACGATCGTGGTCCGGCATACATTGTGCATGATAATAAACCCGATTTGAATATGCAGGTAATGTAGAGGTTGTATTGTGCAACCTCTACATTAATATCTCTACAACTTGGCCTTGTCATCTTCCAGCTCGCCCATGGCCCCCCTCGATATCACTTCTCCACCATCAATCACCAGTGTAGCACCGTTGATGTGGCTAGCAGCCCTACTAGACAAGAACACAACAGCTCCAGCCAGATCCTCCGCTGAGCCCAACCTCCTGTTCGGGTTTCTGCTGGCAACCTTCTCAGCGCCGCCGGCAAGGTCCAACAGACCATTAGCCATCTTAGACGGAAAGAAGCCCGGTGCAATGGCATTAACCAAGATTCCTCTTGGGCCAAGCTCAACCGCAAGGTTCTTGGCAAGATGGATAGCCGCAGCCTTGGAGGCCGAGTATCCGAAGGTAGCAGTATCGCCGAGACTTCCAATTCCAATACCGGCCACAGATGCGGTGATTATGACCCTCGACGTGTCCTGAACAGACGCATTCTTCTGCAGCAGCGGTGCGAACAGTCTAACAGTGTTGAACACACTCTTGACATTCAGGTCCATGACCTTGGCGAATGCCTCATCTGAGTGGGTATCGAACTTTTCGCCCCAAGTGGCGCCTGCGTTCGCGAACAGGATATCGACGTGATCGGTGGTCTTGCTGACCTCGCGGACGAGGTGTTCAACTCCGGAGAACTTGGCCGAGTCGGCTGGGACCGAAATAGCATGAGCACCCGGCTGCAGGTTTGGGAGCTTGTTGAGAGCTGCGACGGCCTCGTCGCATGCCTTGGCCTTGCGAGAGGTGATGTACACCTTGGCGGCACCGGCTTGGAGGAATCTGTTTGTAGTTGTCAGATGGGTTTATCAGGATGAAGTTAATCACATACCCTGATGCAGCGTGGAGACCCAGGCCACGGGATCCGCCAGTAACGACGACGACCTTGCCTTTCAGGGAGAATAGAGAAGGGAAGTCATTGAGAACGGTTTCGGCAGCGGCAGCCATCTTGATAAGAGGTTATCAGTTACGTCGGGGTTGCGTAGTCTGGAGGAATGACGACGAATTCGCAAAAGTTAATCAAAACAATTTATTTACAGGCGGATGTGGAATATATATGAAGACGCAAAGATGCAATAGCAGATCCCAATGGAACCATACCTAAACGGTAGGGTACGTGCGGAGAAGCGAGGTCGGAAGAGCCGAGCGTAGTGGACGTGCCTCGGCATTTACCAGTGGAAATTTGTGTGTGGGGTCCTATGTGTGGGGTAGCCGCAGCAACTTCTTAGAAATCAGAAAATGAGAACACGGCGGCAGTGGAGTTTGCTCTCATTTTTATGAATCGTGGTTTCTCCAATGTTCGTTAGATGAATATTATAATATTGCTGTGTAGTTTATCAATGGGAATCTGACGCAAAACTAACCACGACGAGGCAGCCGACGCACAGTCGCGAACAGATGGAGAGAAGTCAGGTTATAAATCTGCCTCATATATCTAGCTTTGCTTGGTCGGTTGATATAATGCCACAGCAACCCCCAACAGCTGTTGTTAGTCCTCCATTATCCACAAGCACTGCTCATAGTCCTCATGATGTCGTGATGCCAGCATCAGTCCCATCCTATCATACTCGTCCTTCTTGGCCCTCACGCCAACCTCCTTCTCCGATCACTCTCGCGTGGAAAGCAGATGACGATTGATCACTGTATCGGAAATGCGCGCCTCAGCTAACAAAACAAGCACAGGATTTCCGCCCGGCAGATCAGGCAGAGTTTCAAGAACAATGTCAATAAAACCATCCGTCAGGATCCTCTTGATGCCGATACCATAGCTCTGTGCCAGACAGACGCACATGGTGAGGGGCTCGTATATCGCTACCCCTGCCTCGTGGACATCGTATGCTGCGCAGAGATGCAGGAATGCCGTGAGAGCTCTAACGCAGTCACTGATCACTTGATATGCCGCCGCCACAGCACCATCACCCTCTCGTCCCCAAACCCCAGCTAAACTGTAAGGGAAAGTAGCAGACCCGTGCTTGACGTAGTCGATCAGCACAGCGAACAACTTGGGATCAACAGCTGGTAGATTCAAGAAGCCAGACAGAGCTTGCGCAGAGGTGCCGTTGAAGTAATGTGCGAAGATGCGAGAGTAGTAGCAGATCAGGTCTTTGGGAAGTGTGAACGGGGACTGACAATCACGACCAGCGTAGATGGTGACGACCTGGCTATCGCATTTCCTGCCTTTGTTAGTTGGGCTTCATGGAGAAGGGGTGGGGTTGCGGTACTTTCTGAATTCATCTTGGGTCAAGGGCGTGACTGCTGGTTTGAGTGCCATTTTTTTGGGCATGAGTGATGAGGTTGAAGGTTAGAGCACGTCTTCGGTTGATGGTTTATGGTGGCAGGTGCTCATGCTGGAACATGGAGTGAATAGTGTGAAGGGTTGATACTTGTGTGGCCTGTAAGGAAGCTATTCACATGTCTCGCCATGTTAGCAACTCAATGGCGGGGGGGGCTCTTTCTGTTCGCTACATTATAGCTATTAGGCAGGCTGTACTCCAGAATGAGGGTAAGGTACTAAACAACAACGGACAGCAATGTTTATAGACGCATGTGAAGGACGAATATATGACCAGTCCAGCCTCCTACCTCTTATTGGCCATGAACCATCTCTGGTGTTCCAAATTGTGTGCTTGATGATGTGCCTTGGATTATATTAATTGTCTCTGGGTGTGACTGCCAATGTTCCAAAAGTCGACGCGTGATGAGACGGGGTAACTCAACTCCGCTGTCAAGCTGTCAAGCTGTCAACGTAAAACATACTCTGTCTCAGAGAGTTAGGCGGCCGATTTCTACGTTTGACATTCGACCAAATTCTATATCGAATCGTCGCAAAATTAATTCGTGGATGGGAGACGGATGAACTCGCGATACTTTGGTGACGAAGTCAAACTGGCACAGAAGTCGTCCGCCAAGCCCTCCTCCACCTTTCCATCACCACCCTCGTGGGGTAGGGCGCGGCGTCCTCTCACGCCGCGCCGTATCCCCTCCCATCACCCACCCCAAACTCCAGGTCATAATCCTCGCCAATTTTGCCATCTACCCACCCGACATCCTCACCCAGCTCGACGGCGCAGAAGCGTGCATCTGGTACCTACAAACCTCCCCCAACCCCCGCTTTCGCACACATTCTAACACCCCCCAAGGACCCTCGGTATCAAAACAGCCTCCGTCCCCGACCAACGCCTTGTCTCCGTAACCTGCTCCCTCGCCCTCACCACTGCCCTCACTCAACTCCACACCCCTCCTTCGCACCCATCCGCTTCCTCGTCACCGGCGGCGCGCTCTCAATCTCCGACCCCAACTCCTCCGCACTCTTCATGGGCCCCGCGCGCAAAGTCAAAGGCGAGGCTGAGATGGAGATCCTCGCTTTTGCAGCGCGCCCGGAGGATAGGGAGAATCGAGGAGGTGGTTACGCGGCCGGCGATGGTGCATGCGCCGGGGTCGGTGGTGGGGGGGCTGATGTCGGGGCTTCCGGCTGGGTTGAGGGGTGTGGGAATGAAGGAGTTGGCGGCGGTGACTTTGGATATTGTGCGTAAGTGGGGGGATGAGGGGAAAGCTGGATAATGCGGAGTTGGCGAAGAGGGGGGTATTATTAGTCAAGGCTGGATTGGAGGGGGATAAATAGGGGGGTTTCAAAGGGTGTTTTCTGAGGGTTGGATTCCGAGAGTTGTATGTTGAGGAGTGGATACTAATGATTAGACACTGGGGAGTAGGTGCTGAAGACCGAATTTGGATTAGGGATTTGTTCGCGAAGTAGGGACCGGCGTCATTATATAGAGGTGACTTGGAATATAATAGCTTTGTTTTGGAAACAACGTAATCCTATGTCCCTCCTCCCGCACCTCCCGCATGGTCCTCATGGCCAGCTATTGTATATCCCATTCGGTATCATCGCTATCTCATTCATCGAGAGACGCATCAGAATCCCAATCTCTAATAGGGTCCTTCGCAACAATGATCCATCCGTAGCTCTCAATTTGCTTTCTCATAAAATCGCTTGGGTCGTTCTCATACACCTCGATAATGATATCCTTCAGAGGTGGAAAAAAAGCTCTGAAGTGAGTATCGATTAGGTCAATGCCTCTGCAACGATCTCCGAGGGAGTCAAACAAACTACGTATAGGATATGTGATATACCGGGACGTCGAGAGAGTTTTTATATCGGTGCAGCCTCTCTAGATGGTTGAAAGGATTTCGTCATCATTTTCCTTGAAGGTAATATTATCCAGTTCTAGGTCGCAGAAAATCGGAAAGTCGACATAGATATGTCGGATACAGTCTGCGTTATCGCGGCCAATTTTCTCGAGGAACCGGGAAATGCACAATGGAGTGTCATAGAAAAATCGAAGCGGTTCTGGTACAAGAGCAATCTGGCTTCGTTGTAGATGATCTTGTTCACCCCGGGGAGCCCGGGCAAGAGGTCCCACCCATAGTCAGAACTCAAGGGGGCGGACAGGTCCTTCGATCAATAAGCATAGCTCGTATATCTTGTCGCGAAACTCGCGGGGAAGCGTGAGGAAGTTGGCTGGCATGTCTTCAGTATGGTGTGTTTTGAGGGTAGGGGGATGGGTTAAGACGCTGATGTTATTCTTTGTTACATAAAGAGTAACAAAGAATGTTGTTACTCTTTGTATAACAAAGCCACCTAGATGCTAAAGGGGAACTGTGGATAACAGTAGTATTTACAGCGATTATAACTAGAATAAAGTCTCTTAATTACTAAAGGCCGTAATTCTCATATCTGTGTTCCGTCAGCTCCTTCATCCATCGCTTCCATTCTGACTCAGTATCGTGATGGCTTTGCGATACGTATAGCATGTCTTCTGAGTCTATATCGATACTCATAGCTTGCTGCTCTGGATCTAGATCCTCATCTTCGAAACTATTAATAACGTTTGCTGCTTGAATATCAGACTCGCAGCCTGAATATCGGTAGAAGCAGTCCTGCCACTGTGCCTTTGCCCTGTTCTTTTTGATCGATTGTGTACTGTCTTTCCATATGATATTGAAAACATTGAAATTATACCGAGGATCACAAATTGTAGCAATCGTAGAGTGACTCTGTTGCTGATTCGTAGCTAGAGTATAGTAATAATTAAGCTTCTTTAATGCAATCGAAGTAGCATTAGCAATTGGGCTTCGTTCTGGTAGCTCCCTTCTCATATCTTCAAGCTTCTTGACATTCTCATATACTGCAGAACAGCATAGTTAAGAGTTGGATAAGAAGAGCCCTGTAGCTTCTCAGTTAGGCGGATAAAGATATAGAATAGCTTTAATAAGTCATGTAACGTAGCCCAATCTATTGCTGTTAAAGCGATATCCCTCATACTAATATCAAGTTGCTGTAATGTGCATAAAGCTGTAATCGGAACCTGAAGTGTAAGGACACAGGGCACCCAGCTCACAGTAATAGCATATGAGAGTGCAAGTCGGAGGCTAAATGGATGCTATCCTATAGGTCTACTACGAAGGATACAAAAAAGATGATGAGGAACCCCGTTGGGTCAATCCCCTTAAGTACCCGAAACGGGTCCGACTCGGCTAACCTGCCCTAACTCTCCCCACGTGACTGTAACCTGCCCGACTCCAATCCTTTCCGTCACTGAGGGCGGAGGCATCCTTACACTACCCCCCCTCTTAAGAGAGTGTTTTGTCCGCGAAACACGCTGTGAGAATCATTTCCGCAACATCTCCGAATGGTATCTGTGAGAAGAGCATTCTATGTTGGCAGGAATTCTGTTTGTAATTGCATCTGTAACAACCCTGTTTATGTGCCGTGTCGGGAAGGTGCATTGTATGTCATGCTAGAGCTGTGCCATATCGACTCCGTTAGTGTGCGAAACCAGAGTTTGCTTTGTTCGCTCTGGGGTACATTCGTGGTGTCCGAGTGGACTCTGAATCGCATCCGCAAAATGTTCGGGTTGAGCTTTGCTTTGTTCACTCTGGGGTGCATTTCTGGTGGTCCGAGTGGACTCCGAATCGCATCCGCGAAGCGTTCAGGTTGGACTGTCCTACGTATGAAAGGAGAAGTGGCTGCGCTAACCCAATTTGGAGTTCATTGTTGTAAGCCAGACTATGAGTACGCAGCCGCGTCCACTTCTTCTTGTTGTCTCCAACAACAACGCCAGCGACCACCCATCTGAGAACTGTAAGTGACCCCTTCTCGTGGATTGTCCGACGGTGCACTGACAAATTGGATAGGATATTTCCAATCCACAAGAACGAGTAGGTGATGGGAACGCGTTGGCGCGGGGGTGATAACGTGTGCTGGGCTGACGGGATTCTGCGCAGAATTCCAACTTTTGCAATGCCGATTCCGACTCCCACAGGAGCTTTGTCGGGCATGTTCCATGTCCTCTTCCTGTGTGTAACGCTGACTTCTAAATGATAGAAGACACAGAGGTTTCTTGCGTAAGGTTGACTTGACAGAGGAGGCAGGGGATTAGACACAAAGGCTTTCCAAGTAACACGTTACAGTATTGTAAAGAATACTATATTGAGTTGAGCACGAAGCTCCTATGTAAGGAAATACTATCTACTTATATAGTGGCGTCATGCCTCATGGGTAATCTGGATAGTTGGCGGATAGCTAGATATTCAGGATAGTTCGTGGATAGCTCAACTATCCAATATCCACTAGTTTCTGCAACTATCCATTAGTCCCGTCACATGGCAGCCTACCCTGCTTACCCCCTGTGACTCACACGTCACGTTACTAGGCCCTGGTCCTGTAACCATGACATCATGTTACTGTAGCCATAACACTGTGCTGCCTTCGGGCCAAAGCTCGTGGCATCAAGGACCACGATTGTGTCTGGTCCCCCGCCTTCTCCAAGTGCGAGTACTGCATGGCGCAGCACTCCACCTACGTTCTGGTGAGTTCCCTTGTGGTGTTCTGTCTCTGTTGGCTTTTGCTAACCATTTGCATAGCTGCCCTGGTTCCTCGACGAGGAATACTGCGTCCTTGCTGCTGCTGAAGCAGCAGATCCTTGGGACCCCGTCGCCGTCGAAGCCGCTGCTGCAGAGGCAAACCGGGTGGCCCTTGTAGCTCCCCAAAGTGTCCCGAAATTCCACTCGGCCGCCGAGCGAAACTCCTACGAGGAGCTCCGCGCAATGCATGCCGCCCTCGAGGCGGGTCTGGCTGTGAGTATCCCCCTGTCCTGTGTTGTTTCGGTGCTGATTCAGTTCAGCAAATCTGGTCATCACTGCGCCATCTTCGGATGGAGCAGGGGAGTGTGCCGGCTCTTTTGGGGGAAGTGGTGGCTGCCGTGGGCAGGCTTCCTGCCGTCGCTGTCACCACGACAGTTCCAGACTGCGCTGGGGGGAGGAAGAAGGGGGGTGGTGGGGGTGGTGAGGTTGAGGGGGATGTGTTTGGGGCCCAGTATGGGGTGGAGGAGGATGGGGCATAGGATGGAGGGAGGCCCTGTGTCGGAGGGGACTCGGACCTGACTCTTCATGTGGGGTCGCTTTGACCCTTCGTCTCTCTCGGTGGTAGCCGCTTGTTGCGACGCCGGTGAGACGTTTGGAAAGGGTGACTCCCACAAGAGTTACGGTGGTGAGTGCGCCCTGGCTCAGAGGGTATTTTAGTTTAGAGTCGTAGATAGCAACGACTCTGTTTCTTCCACTTTGTCGTCCCTCCCGTGATCATAGTTTTGTTCCTCGCCCGTCTCCCATGCCGTAACCCATCCGAGTAGTTCTCGAGGTGGACCTGGTAAATCTTGGTATTCCGTGTGAAACTCTCTGTCTATCACTTCGCTGCTAGGCTCAGGCGGATCCTGACTAGGTAGGGGGTTGTTTGGATCCTTCATGAGGATGTCTGGTGAGAACACATTGTGTATTTGAGAACCGATAGGTAGTTCCAATCGAAACACGTGCCCAATCCGTTTAAACACCGTATATGGTCCGACCCATTGTTGGCCCAACTTGCGGCTAGGGTGGGAGTTCTTCAAATTTTTGGTCAATAGGTACACTCTATCTCCTACGTCCCAGTCAATGGCCCTTCGGCGTTGATTCGCGTGCTTAGACATTTCCTCTTGTGCCTTTGACATGTTTTCCTTTGCATGGACCCATGCGGTATGCATTCAGTCTGCAACCGCCTTGGCTTCATCCCACTTTAGGGTCTCCTGGGGGTTGGTGCTTTTTGGGGTGTTCCAATCCCAACTCGTACACGGATCGGTTCCATACTTGAGTTGGTAGGGGGTCATGCCAATGGAGGCATAGGGGAGTGTCATTTGCACACGGTCCATTATGGGGATGAGTTCGCTCCAGTTATCCTGGTAATGGGATACCAAAGGCCTCAGTCTCTGATTGATGTATCGGTTCATGGTTCCCGTCTGTCCATCGGTCTGCTTATGATAGGCAGTCGACAGCTTAACCTTAACACTGATAATTCGGCAGAACTCCTGCCAAAAGGATGATACGAATTGGGGTCCGCGGTCGCTTACAATTTACTCCGGTGTGTGTCCGAATCAGTATATCCATTTGATGAACAATTGTGCCATTTGCCGGGCAGTTGTGGTTTTGTAGCAAGGTATGGTCACTGAACTCTTGCCGAGTCGGTCCAT